GATGTAAATTGGACTCTTTGGAGAGGTTATTTGGCTAACATTTATTCAATGTTACAAATGTATGCCTATATAGTATTTTAGTTGCAGGCTAAATTCTAATGGCTGAAGTACAGTAATGATTCTGGCATGCTCAATTTGTGCTAGTGTAAAACACATTTGTAGATATTTGGAAATTGTAATGTTATGAGATTAAAGTTCAGAAAAAGTTACCATTGTTAACTACAAAACTGTATTACAGCTGTGTGATTATACAGCAGGTCCTTGAATAACATTGTTTGATTATATCATTGATAAGAAAATAAAAAAGTCAATTTTGGCCAGGGCCATTATCTTGGGTGGAGTTTGCATGATCTGCCATGTCTGTGAGTTTTCTTTGGGTACTGTGGTTTCCTCCTACATCCCAAAGATGTGCACGTAAGGCGAATTGTTCTGTCTAAATGGCCCCAGTCTGAACGAGTGTGGGTGTGTGTGAGTGTGCCCTGCGATGGGGTGGTGTCTCATCCAGGGTGGGTTCCTGCCTTTATCCCTGAGGTGCTGGGACAGGCTCTGGCCACCTGCTACCTTGAACTGGAATAACTGGGTGAAGAATTCATAATATTAATCATAATTAAATGTATGTACATCTGACATTCATTTCAATGTTTAATATTGAAAGTATATTGGTCTTTATTTAGAAGTTGGTGATGTTTTTGTGACCAGAAATATGCCATAGGAAATTACTGTTTATGTCAATTAGCCTGTGATAAAATTGGTTTTCCAATATGTCATTTGATTAAAGTCAGTTTCCAAGAACCTGTTGATGGCATTAAGTGAGGACTTGCTGTTACATGAATGTATATATACACCTATGTAACAGAGAACTCATGGAAGTTTGAAGTGCTTATGCAGAACAACAGATGTTTGCTCTCTACTTAGTGTGTATGTGGAAATTTGTATTTGACCAGGTTTTTAAAATATAATTGTTGTTGTCAATGTGCTTCCTCCTCCTTCATCAGTAAATAGTATATACATAATCCTTCGGGATATACCTATATGTGTATGCACTTCTTTCACAAAAATGATGTGGCCTCCAAACTGTAGTACTCTGTAACTTTTTTTTTTGAGATGGAGTCTCCCTTTGTTGTCCAGGCTGGAGTGTAGTGGCACAATCTTGGCTTGCTGCAGCCTCTGCCTCCTGGGTTCAAATGATTGCCTCACCCTCCTGAGTAGCTGGGATTACAGGCATGTGCCGTCATACCTGGCTAATTTTTGTATTTTTAGTAGGGACAGGATTTCGCCATGTTGGCCAGGCTGGTCTCAAACTCTAGACTTCAAGTGATTCACCCACCTCAGCCTCCTGAAATGCTAGGATGACAGGCGTGAGCCACCACACCCGCCCTTTAAAGCCTTTTTGTATGACTTGGGGGAGCTCTTCACTGAACCAGCTGGACGAGATTTATGGTGAGACTCTTAATACCGCTACAACATTTGCTAATAGTAAGAGTAATAATAGCTAACATTTTCATAACACTTAACCAGGTGCCGAATACTGCACTATCTACTTTATGTATTAACAACAGCTGTATGAGTTAGGCACCATTATTGTTTCTATTTTACAGATGAGGAAACTGAAACACAGGGAAAAAACTACAAATAACTTTTGTTGCTGTTAAAAGCAGAGCCAGATACACACAGCCCCTTTGGCTGGTGCTCAAGCATTACTGCCCATGATGCATCATCATTACCTATTCTAGAAGGTTTAGTTTTACAGTTTCTTGCTACTTTCCAGAGTGACTTTTCACAGTGGCCTGGATTTTAAATTGTGATCATAGGTATGATTTTAAAATTGAGATAATTTCTTTAAAAATTATCAGGATATTTACACATTAGGATTTAAAAAATTTCGGTTGTGGTAAAACGGACATACTATAATATTGACCATCTTAACCATTTTTATGTGTGTGGTTTGGCAGTGTTAACTATATTTACCTTGTTACGCAAATAATCTCCAGAACTTTAAAATTTTACTTGAAAAACCACTACATTAAAAGCAAGTCTTTTAGGAATTAATTCCAGCTTTGGAGGAAGGTTGTGTTGGGTAATTTTGATCATCTTCCGTGAGATGTTAAGTTTTGAAAGAGAAATTAACTTGCAGGTTAGATCGAATATATATGCAGCAAAGTTAGGTTCTCAAAGTATATTTGAGAAATTAAGTATCTCATTTTAAGGTCCTTTTAAAATGCTACAATTATGTTATTTCCTGTTGCTGGTAAAGAGATTTGACATTCTTTGAAGGAGATAGTTTTTATCTGCAATTCCTGAATGCTGATGTTAATTGGAAGGATGCAGTAGAACCTGTCAGGACATTTAAACTCTTACTAACTGAATAAGCTGATCAGATAAATTGGAAGCTCATTTAGTGAATTAAGGTGCTTGAAATTCAGGTGACTGGTTCCCTCTTCCTGCCTTATTTAAGAACCTGTTTACTTAAAGTATTTTTCATTGTTAATTGGTGCCAGTTCTCTAATGTTGGAAGATTTTATACAGAAAATATACATAAGATAGCATCTGGAATAAGTCCACAAAAGCAGGTTTTAAATTCTCTTACATAATTACATCAGTACAGATTAGAATTTTGTATATGCCAAGTTGTACATGTTAAATGTTTGCTCACAGTGACCAGCATTTTTATGAGTGTGGTACTGTGTAGGGGTTCTATAATTTAGGTGTAAGGGACATACCTGGAGCCTCTTCTGGTGTGGCTATTGGTCTTTGTTGGTAGAGGCCTGCAGAGGTTGAAGGTAGCACTGTATTTGGTCATGCTGAACTTTTACTCCTACTTTCTACTAACTCATTTCTACAAAGAAGATGGTCATGATTTTTATAAGTACTTGTCATAAAATCAGATTCTAAAACCCAAATACCAGGTTTGTAATCTGGTTGTTTTATGTGAGCAAACTTTTGAATATATTAGCCCTGTTCCTTTATGACTTTGTTTTTTAGTGTTCTGCAAGTTTCCTTATTCTTACCACTTTGGATTTTTTTGTTTGTTTGTTTGTTTTTTTTTTTTTAGACAGCATCTCTCTCTCTGTCACCCAGGCTAGAGTGCAGTGGTTCAGTCTTAGCTCACTGCAGTCTCTCCAGTCTCTGCCTCCTGGGCTCAAGTGATTCTTGTGACTCAGCCTCCTGAGAAGATGGGATTACAGGCAAGTGCTAACATGCCTGGCTACTTTTTTGTATTTTTAGTAGAGATGGGGTTTCGCCATGTTGACCAGGCTGGTCTGGAACTCTTGACCTCAGGTGATCCACCCATCTTTGCCTCCCAGAATGTTGGGATTACACGTGTGAGTCACTGGGTCTGGCCAGGATTTGTATTCTTGATGCCATTTTAGAGTTCTTCTTCCCTCCTTCCCCCAGATATAGCTTGTGTAATTTTTATCTGATATACCTTTAACCCAATAATCTAGACAGTCTTTTCAGGATTATGGTTTATACTTTCTCTAGACAGTGGTGAAGCTGATAACTGAAATGACCAATGGCTGCTTTGTGATGATGGCAGAGTAGAATCAAGTGAGACTTGAGGGCAGCAGGTGCGGAAGGCTCTGAACCCAGCCTGCCTCACAGCTCCAGTTTGTTCTTTCTTTCCTTCACTTCTTTTCTTTCTTCTCTTCATCTAGCCTTTCATTTTTTGGGGATGGGGTGGGGGAAGGGAGGAGAAAAGAGTGTGTGGTAGGAAAAAAGACACATCAGAAGAGGTAAGTAATACCTGCTGAGAGTATATTCCATTTCTCTCATTCCCTCCAGTTGTCCCCTGCTTCCTCCAGTCACCCTTTAGGGAAATAAAGTTGAGGTCAGAAGGACCTATGTGTTACAGCTGCTGCTTAGCTGCTATTTTTAGCATGGCTCTACATCAGGCTGGCACTAGGCCATGATGGCACAGGGCCAGCCTGTTGTGGGACTGCTCATAGATGTCAAAAACTTAACTTTTACTTATCAAACAAAACTAAATTTCAGACATATTCTGTGGTGTGGTACTCCATTTGCTTTTATTTTTTTGAAATAGAATGTACATGTTTTTAGAAGTGATTGATTTTTAATAGTAGTCATGCATAAATCTTGGAACATGTAACATATAGTTTATTTTAGGTATGAGAAAGATTTAAGAATTGTGTCAGACATGTAGTCCAGTTGAATACTTTTCATTTTGTGGTGCCACCAAGAGGTGGGAAATTTGCTTGATTTATTTACTATGCCTTGGGCATCTTTAAAATTGCTGTAGCTGTTGAAGTTGTGGAGTCTGAATTGGTTTGTATAATTATATCAGACATTAAAAAGAAACACATACTGTTTTTTTCTGCAGTTATCAGTGTTCTCTTGACTAACTCATTTGTGTGTGTTTGGATTTGGTTAATACTCTAGTAATATGTTTAACTAAAACTTGCTATTCATTTTGTAGGGAGCCGGTAGGTTTTAGTCGAAATAGTAGTATCTGGGTCTAGAGTCTGTACATCCCAGAGCCAGTATTATATAGATTGTATTTGCAAATTGAGTTTAAAGTTTTTGGATGCATATATGAATTTAAGAACTTGACTATCTGTTGCACTCATGATGAAAACTATATTGTATTCTTGAGTAATTTTGCAAAGAAAAATATCACAAGGTGAATTTATCTTTGGAAGGGACTTCAGTAAGAAGAGTAGTATTTGTTTTCTTTCTATAATGGTACATAGAAAAGCTGAGGGCATGTTGAGGATGATTTGTGGTGTACCATGAGCTGCACTGAATATAAATAGAAACACTGATGATTATTCAATGAGTAGTGGTATAATGTACTTAAATCCATTGGATGGCAGGATAATGTTTAGTGGTGCATTGATCTGACACCCTTCTTAAGGTAACACAAAATAGTTGGCCAAAATAACTAGAAGTAGAATCAAATTGATTTTCTTTAAGGTAATTATTGGATGAATTCTGCTGAATTTAGTTTTATGGAGATAAGAAAGCTTAGGTTGAGGGATTTAGTGAAAGGTGGATAGCGGGGTCTAGTATCCTACAGAAGGCAGATGTTTTAGAGTTTATTTACATTCTTACATCTTTTTTCTTTCTTTCTTTCTTTTTTTTTTTTTTTTTTTTTGATGGAATCTTAGTGTTGCAGCCCAGACTGGAATGCAGCGGCACGTTCTCCACTCACTGCAACCTCCGCCTCCTGGGTTCAGGTGATTTTCCTGCGTCAGCCTGCTGAGTAGCTGGGATAGGCGCCTGTCACCATGCCCGGCTAATTTTTGTATTTTTTTTTTTTTTTTTTTTTTTTTTAGTAGAGACGAGGTTTCACCATGTTGGCCAGGCTGGTCGTAAACTCCTGACCTCAGGTGATTGACCCATCTCGGCCTTCCAAAATGTTGGGATTACAGGCATGAGCCACCGTGCCTGGCACCATTCTTATATTGCAGGTTCTTATATTTTAGATGAGATCAACTTGGGTAGTTTGCTGAATTATAAGGAAACATAGTGACTATCTTGGGGATAGAATATCAAGTTTATTTAACTATATCATAGTGTAGTAATCATACAATAGAGTATCTTTCTGCAGTTAAAAGAGTAGATATTTCAAAAGTGGCTTGGAGATAGTCAGTTGACCTATTGATATAAATGTATCTCTCTAGATACGTATATATGTATAATTTAATATGATGCATAGAACATTGTAAACTACTGGATGTTAGTAGGTAAGTGACTACCTTGTGTATCCTTAATGCTATTTACATTTTGTTTAGATGAGTCATGTAAATGATGTGAGCTCCAGCTTAACATGCCTTATTAAAACCAAAGCCCAGTAGGTAGTTTGATTAGTGCTGTTTAGAGTTCTTATAAGCAAAGTGCTCAGATGACTTTCCTTATTAGAACTTGTCGGAGCAGTTTCTTTGCAGTTTTCATGGATCTCTCTTAGCAACGTATTAAAAAGGCATTTTGTTTAAGCTGTTTCATAAATAGCAAATTCCAAAGGCCTGGATTGTGTTGCATTTTTGCTTTCAATTATGACTCCTACAGTGGGGGAAAAAGCCTTTAAGAAACACTATTCATTTTAATAATTTGTAGCAAAATATTTTTATTTTAAAATGGATGGATTTTTAAAAAAAGTACAGATTCAAGTTTAATTCAAGGTTTTTCACTATTTTTATTAAAGATTTTCTTAGTTTGGGCTGGGCATGGTGGCTCACATCTGCAATCTTAGCACTTTGGGAGGCCAAGGTGGGCGGATCATGAGGTTAAGAGGTCAAGACTCTCCTGCCCATCATGGTGAAACCCTGTGTCTAAGAGGTGCAAAAATTAGCTGGGCGTGGTGGCTCATGCCTGTGGTCTCAGCTGCTCAGGAGGCTGAGGTGGGAGAATCGCTTGAACCCAAGAGGTGGAGGTTGCAGTGATCTGAGATTGCGCCACTGCACTCCAGCCTGATGGCAGAGCGAGACTCTGTCTAAAAAAAAAAAGTCATAGTTTGCATTTTAGATGTGTTAGACAACAATTGGTGATATAATGGCTAGTAACTATGAGTTCATGTAATGAGGTCTGAATTTGTTTCAATAGTTCATAGCTACTGTGTGTGGCATTTTGCTGAGTGAATCGTACCCATCCCTAAATTACCAAGTTACACAAAGAGGAGCTGACACTGAACAACATCTGGCAGTATTACGTGTTGTGCAAGAACAGGAAGGACAAATACCAAGCTCTAAGCAACATATATGGTGGCATCATCATTGGTGAGGCCATCGTCTTCTGGGAGACTCAACGAAATGCCAAGTGGTTGACTGTGGAGATGATGCAGGCTGGCCACCAGGTGTCTTTTTGTTAAGTGGAGAGCTGACCATGGAGCAGTGAGTATCCGTCATTCAGAAGTTTTAGGATAAGAAGGTTCTCATAAAAACCAGTGTTTGCACTGGAGGGATTGATGTGAAGCAAGTCACCATTGTGAACTTTGATCTCCCTGTAAACCAAGCAGAGGAGCCAGACTTTGAGACCTACCTCCAGTGCGTAGGGTGGACAGAACAGTTTTAGGAAAAAAAGGCCTCACCTGCAACATTATTGAAGCAAATAAGCTGTGTGTACTTATGAAAATCCAGGACCACTGTAGCTTTAAGCAGCTAGACATGGAAGAAATGGAAAAGATTGAATATTAAAGAAAAAACTGTATTGTTTGTGAGGATATTCTAATTTATGATAGAATGTCCTGGTGAATTTTGAAGATAATTTATTATGTTGACACTTTTTCGATGTGAAACTCACAAATGGCAAAATAAGTGTTATAGTATCCTTAGTTGTAAGACCTGAAGTCTTTTTGAAACCAAGTTGATTTTAAGCATGTGATCATTTTGAATTAAAAAAAGCAAGATTTAAAAAGAATATAGTTTGTATTTTTAAAATAGCATATGTGTGATGGAGTTTTGGTGGTAGTGGGTTAAGCTGTGGTGGATTAAGCTCTGAAAAACACAAAAAATTCATGTAGCAATGTTTAGATATAGAAAGTTCTCACCCCTACCTCCGTTTAGTTATTTATACTTCATTGGGTTGCATATTTAATGTTCTTGTATAAAAACTTTTTACTTCTTGATTTTTCCCCTTTATACTTCCTATTAAACATAGGAAACATTACAATTTAGAATGTAATCTGTAAAAGTTCAGTATATGACAGTCTATTTTAGGGTTGTTTTAGGAATTTATTGACTATCACATTTTTAAACTGCTAGTTTAAAAATTTACTCCATGAATTGCTATTTTCCTCTTTGATCCTTTACAATTGTGCAACAATTAATTTCTCCTCCTCTTTTGTTTCCCTCATCTTAGAACTGAGCTTTGAACCCAACTCTTTGAGGAAGGCTTAATAATTCTAAAGCATTCTATGTCTTAGATTCCTACTGTTTCCTCTTAGAAATCTGTAATAGTAAACCAGATCTTTTTAGATAATCTGGCTTCCTTTCTAGATTGAGAGGCATTCGGTCACTCCAGTGAATGTGGGTAGACCTTCTGAATTCTGTAAGGGATTTTTGTGGAGACTAACCCTCTCCTGATTCATGGTCTTTTCCAAATTTGAGAACACAACTGTGGAACTCCTCCTTAATGTAAAAATTGGAGAAAATTAGGGACAATTTGTTTTTATGAGAAATCAGAATAGTCTTTGTAGGACTGTAGATATCTAAACATCATTGATGGAGGAAGCATCAGTGAGCTAATCAAATTGAATCAAAATTTGGAGTGCTAACAGATGTAAAACTACTCTACTGTACACTGTTTCGGAGTAGTCATTTTGAATTTATCATTGTGTAGCAGACATTTCTAGTCTTTTTTTTGAGAGGGATCAGAATTACAGAGCATTTAAATACAAAGTCTCTTTTTGGAGTGAAAGATGAATCTGCTAGTTTGAAAAAAAATAATGGCAAATTTAAAATCTAGAACAGCCAACTACTGTATTAACAGTGCCAGGACATTATAAGCATAGTAGACATTGAAATGTCACTTGAATGAATGATAGTCTTAGATTATATGCCAGTCCTGTGGGTGTCTGCATGAAATTCTCTTAATTGAAAAAAATAGTACCAGTTTCTAATTTCCATTTGATTTTCTGAGTCTGAATTGCTGTTTCTTAGTATTTTAGGAAGGTGAATAGGAATATGATCTCTGGATAAGTAGGCTGGTTTTCAGTACTGGGTTTGTCATCAGTATATTTCTTCAAATACTCTTTGGGTTTCTTTTTTTTCTTCTCATTTGAAGGGACCTTTCTTTAAGCTTGTTGACTTACTAATAGTAGCATCATCCCAAAAGCTATTCTGAAAGCAATTTATCTGTTAGATGACTCCAACATCTAAACAGAAAGTAACTTGCATATTTCTGTGCAGAACGGTACCTTTGGGTTATGTAGAAAAATAATCATAAATGCCTTTGTGGGATTAAGAGATTGCCTTTTTCTTCTATTTGATACTTCATTTTTAAAGGAAATTGGTATAACTAAATTTAGTTTTTAAAAACTCTCCTCCTGGCCGGGCGCGGTGGCTCACGCCTGTAATCCCAGCACTTTGGGAGGCCGAGGCGGGTGGATCACGAGGTCAAGAGATTGAGACCATCCTGGTCAACATGGTGAAACCCCGTCTCTACTAAAAACTACAAAAAAAAATTGGGTGGGCATGGTGGCGCGTGCCTGTAATCCCAGCTACTCAGGAGGCTGAGGAAGGAGAATTGCTTGAACCCAGGAGGCGGAGGTTGCGGTGAGCCAAGATCGCGCCATTGCACTCCAGCCTGGGTAACAAGAGCGAAACTCCGTCTCAAAAACAACAACAACAACAAAAAAAAACCAAAAAAAACACTCCTCCTCTGGCTGGGCGTGGTGGCTTACATCTGTAATCCCAGCACTTTGGGAGGCCGAGGCAGGCGGATCATGAGGTCAGGAGATCAAGACCATCCTGGCCAACATGGTAAAACCCCGTTTCTACTAAAAATACAAAAAGTTAGCTGGGCGTGTTGATGGGTGCCTGTAATCCCAGCTACTTGGGAGGCTGAGGTATGAGAATCACTTGAACCCAGAAGGTGGAGGTTGCAGTGAGCTGAAATTGCGCCACTGTATTCCAGCTTGGCAGCAAAGCGAGACTCCATCTAAAAAAAAAAAAAAACAAAAAAAAACCTCTCCCTGTCACAGATGACATGCAAAAACACATATAACTTCAGAACATCCCACAAGATCTTACACATTGTGAAAAGACGTTGGCTAATTAATAGGAATGGTTTATTAAACTGGTCTCCAAAACGCTGGTGACTTTCTCTTGAGGTAGAATTTGCTTAAGACTCAATTTGCATAAAATGGAGTACACCAGAGCACTTTTTTGAACAATAATTTAACAATAGGGCTGTACTTTCAGTGCTTGGTCCCTGAGAGGGATGAGTTATCCAGATATTGGGTGACCACCTGTTCCTATTTGTCCAGTCGATCTTGGCTTATATCTCTTTTCCTAGACAGTCACCTCTTTCACTGGTAGAAGTGCTCCAGTTTGGATAATAAAGTCTGTGGTTACCCTAGCCATACATCTTGTTTCTCAGAAGGAAGAGGGCAAGATATAAATCAGTTTAGAATTGTGCCCTATGTGCTCTTCTATGTGTAGGGAGAATAAGAGAGGGAAGATGGGTATGTTTTTGTGATTGAAAGGTGGCCTTTGGCTTATTTCTGCCCTTGATGAGTGGGCTCTCCTCAGTCTCTTTCTTTCTTTCTTTCTTTTTTTTTTTTTGAGACGGAGTTTCGCTCTTGTTACCCAGGCTGGAGTGCAATGGCGTGATCTCGGCTCACCGCAACCTCCGCCTCCTGGGTTCAGGCAGTTCTCCTGCCTCAGCCTCCTGAGTAGCTGGGATTACAGGCACGCGCCACCATGCCCAGCTAATTTTTTGTAGTTTTAGTAGAGACGGGGTTTCACCATGTTGACCAGGATGGTCTCGATCTCTTGACCTCGTGATCCACCCGCCTCGGCCTCCCAAAGTGCTGGGATTACAGGCGTGAGCCACCGCGCCCGGCCTTCCTCAGTCTCTTTCAAAGAGGAAATATATGATTTTGTTTGGGCTGTTCAGAACAAAAGGAAGCAGTTAAGAGATTCTCAGTCTCCATCGGTTTGATGTCACCATCCTTGAGTTTTTTTTTTTTTTTTCCAATTTAAAGATAGGAAAATTTTATATTCTTATTCAAGGTTGTATTTTTTTTTTAGCATATGTTTGTATTAGTTCAGTTCTGTTTGTACATTTTCTTAGACTGATGTTCACAGGTACTGCTCATTTTAGGTACTCGCAGTTAGCCACTGGCATAATGTGTCATTTGTTAACCACATAGTCAGGAGCTTGGAGAAGATATCTGAGCCATTAGGAGGCTAGAGTCCTTTTTGCTGGGTCTTGGCTTACTATCTGTGTGTGTCTATGCAGAACACTTACTGGCTCTGAACTTCCTCAAGTCCTTAAAAAATAGGACTAATTATACCTCTGTCATGAGGCTGCTAAGAGCCTCACATGGGAATACATGAAAGTATTTGAATTCTAAATAGTACACAAAAGGGATTATACTGTTACCCTTTGCTTCAGTTTTACCTAATTTTTTTCATTTATTATTTTCTTCTAGTTTTCTGTATTTTTCGAAAATCCTGTAATCATTATATATTGATTTCATAGAGAAAGGAAACCTTGTTTTAACAAATCTAATTACCATTAAAACACAAATTTCTCTATCTACAGATTTATTTTTGTTAATAGTTTATTATAATCATTGCCTGATCTAGTGCAACTAAACAGAGCATGTATTCATAGAGGTGTATGCCTTAATGTCTTAATTTCTCCCTTGTTTTTGACTCTAGTGACTGATGAATTTTGTCTTCACTTGGAACTCTGGAATTCTCCTGAAAATGGAAAGGGGATAGCTAAAATAAATTCTGTATTATTCATGCATAGGATGGACAGTTGTGGACTGACCTCATCACTTAGGGTTTAGTTTCCAGGCTTCCCCGAATATGTACCATGTCAAGTGGAGGATGGAAGAAGATAGAACAACTTTTAAATTTATGTTTCTGAGTTTCTTATGTCGAATGACTGTACTACTACATTCCCTTCTTTTGGAAACTTTCATTAATAAATGAAAAGAGTTGGTTAGCATTTTCCCCAATTTAAAAATTTACATATAAAGTATTCAGAAAAATAATCTCAAATGAAATTTTCAGGGCTTATGAACTGAAATCTTATTTGTGTTTTCTTTCAATTGTATCTTTGGGTATCTTCATAAGTCCTTGCCTTGGAAAGCTGTGGTGATATGACCCAGATTACTTATTCCACATCCCATTTTTTCTATCCAAAGTTTAATATTTTCAGTGAAGTTTAGACTGGATTAGCAATCACATCATGCATTTTCCTCCTTTCTGACCTGTTAGTGGCCTTTCTGCACTTCTAATTTGTACCATAGAGCTCTATTAAAAATTTTTATATGCTATGTTTGTATACACATGCATGTGTAAGAGTGGATTTCGTGTATGTATAACAGTGTTAATCAGCTTGCAAACTTTGGACAGATAGGGCTCAGCTCTTAGAATGTGTATTGCAGCCAGGATGGTGTTGTCCATACCTACCCTGTGCAGAACCTTTGGTGGCTTCCCTTTGCTCAGAGCCTGAAGTCATTCATAGGTGTAAAGGCCCAGCATGGTCTAGCGTTGACCCTCAGCTACCTTCTGCACAGTGTTCTCCCTTCCCTTTCAAATGTGTCCAAGTTGCCCTGTCACCTGCCTTTGCCCATGTTCTTTTTTCTGTCTGGAATGTTCTTCTGTGCTTGGTTCATGCACTAATTGTCATCTTGGCTCAGAACTATCCTGGCAAAAAAATTACCTCCTTTGTAACTCTAATCATAGTTTTTTGTGTGATTTTTCCTTTTTCGGATTGTCCTCCCCCATAAGATTGTAAGCTCCAGGAGGACAGAAACTGTAAATATGTGTGTGAATATGTATGTATACATGTGTTTGTATCCATGGCTGTCAGTACAACCATTTGCACATAGTTATCTCCCAATAAAAGTTTGTTGAATAAATGGATGAAGGAAGTGGTTTTTACTTTGGGAGTATTTTCATACTCTCCAGGAGGAGGCACTGCTTTTATAGGTTCCATCTATCTATATCGCTCCATGCCATCACACAAAGAATATGCCAGTTTGAAAAATACAGCCTAGTTTTGTGTTTTTGGCTACTTTGGGCCACTCCCAAATTCCCCAAAGGTACACTTGCATTCACCTTTATGGTTAGAGGCACTTTCTTAGAATCTGAGTTTGAGAAACTGTGTGCTATTTTAATTACAGGAAGTACTTTGTCAAGGTCAGTTGTCTTAGAATGTGGATTTATATGACATAGTCTTATACATTCAGTTGGTCATGTATTACTGGGAAAAACCAACAGTCCTATTTGCAGCCAAAGATTGCAAGAGGATGGTAGGTGTGTAGTTAGAGCAGGAGACTCCCTTTTGATCATATGCATAGGTCAGTTGTCTTTTTCTGTCCTGTCTTCTCAGTTCTCTTGGATGAGCAGCTGTGTTTGGTCATGGTGGGCAAGGCACTGATATTGGAGCTCATGTGCAGGATCACTGTGGGCCATAGCAAGTTTGCCTGAACATTTTTTTTTTTTTTTTTTTGAGACGGAGTCTTCACCCAGGCTGGAGTGCAGTGGCGTGATCTTGGTTCACTGCAACCTCTACCTCCCTGGTTCAAGCGATTCTTCTGCCTGGGCCTCCAGAGTAGCTGGCACTACAGGTGCACACCACTACACCCAGCTAATTTTTGTATTTTTAGTAGAGATGAGATTTCATCATATTGGCCAGGCTGGTCTCGAACTCCTCACCTTGTGGTCTGTCTGCCTCGGCCTCCCAAAGTGCTCGGATTACAGATATGAGCCACCGTGCTTGGCCTTTTTTCCCCCTGTTGATCTGTGTATGCTTATGCTTGAGCTTTTTTTTCAGTTTTTTTCATCATTTTAATGTTTGCTTCCTCAAGTTAATCAAACATAAGTAGCAGGATAGAATGATCTTCCAAATAAAGTCATTTCTGTTTCAAAGTGGTCTTGGAGAAACATGAAGTTTTTTTCAGTATCTTGTTTGGGATGAGGATTGGGATGAGCTCTCATTTGAAACATTTATTTGGCATTTTATATTGTTCCAGCTCATAATATTGACCACCTTTTGAGTACTACCAATTCTGTGCTTTACAAGCATAATTTCTAGCTCTCACAACTTTGAGGAGAAGGTATTCTCATTCCAGGGTTGAGGGAACAAATATGAGATGGTAAGTCACTTGTCAGGACATCCAGGCAGTCTGTTCTAGACCTGGACACCTAGGCCTCTCAGCTCTCAAGAGGGATCATGTTTTCCAATTGTTGCTAGAGACAGCCTGTCTTTTTGCACATGTGTCACTGACACTCCTCCTTGGTCTGTGATACCATTCAAATTTAGTGGACTGACCTTTTTGAGCAGTGTTTCACTACTTCTGAATGTATATGTTTTATTTTTTTCTCCTTGGCTTCTGAATGTTCATGTTCTACTTTTTTCTCCTTGGTAGTGGTATTGGATATATAACCCATCCATGATGTAGTACATTCTTACTCCTTGGAGCTGATACTTCACTCAGTTGAGGGTGACTTTTTCTTTGTTGGACCTTTAAAAATAATTTCAATCACGACATTTATTGACATGAATACTTGGGCTTGAAACAATTACCATTTTCTCTGATGATTTCTTGATTTTAGTGGGAGACTTGGGGCATTGTGTGTGGGGCATACTTCAGAGAGAGAAGATTAATGTAACAAGCTGCATGAGGCAGGAGAGGTGCATACACCATAGTTACTGGAAGGCACAACTTTGAGTTCTTGCGGATTGTTTTGGCAGCCCTGTAGATAGATTCAGCATATGCTGAGGACATTCTCTTATTCCAAATTATATCCTAAAGACCTAACTCTTAGAGCAAGCCTTAGAGTGTCCTTTACCCAGTTGGTTTTTAGGAAAAACTCTTTTGTTTACTGATGAGAAAAGATTCTTTCTAGGCAGCACCCAGGAATACTTATTTGAATGTTTTTGTGCCTTCTTGTGACCTAATTTCTGCTGCCATCATACCCCCTGCTCAAATTAGTGAACTGCTTGGTGTGTTCAACTTTCTGTAGCATTTGTAGCTTTCTATGTAGACTGGTCACAAGTTAAAAGCTTAGGAAGTCTATATAACTTACCGTAATTTTAGCACTTTAACTTTTTAAGGTATACGTTTTGGTTGTCTGATTTATAGAAGTACCATGTAAAAATCCACCTATGCTATACAATTGCTGAAATACTGAGTAAGCTGTGCATTTTATGACCAAGTTATGGGATGAATAATTACTCCCTGGAGTGAATGGTTCAAAATGAAGTAACTGTATGCCTTAGGTGTGTGACGTGACACCAGATGTATTTAAGCCCCAAAGGTATGTAATTATCTCACTACTCTTGCACATACAGACAAGTACATTTATGCTTATGGCAAGAGTTTTATGTGCAAAAGAAAATTCACTTTCTGATAAGTGAAGGAGCAGTCCATTATTTTTGAGGGGCTCAGAAATTGTTTGGTATTAGAGGCTCCTTTTCAGTCCCCCTGAATTTCTTTAGGGTCTTATTTAAATTCATATATCGCTTGATTCTAGAGTAAACCATTATTATACCCTTGATTTTGAATATTAAGGACAGTTGAGGGAGTTTCTCAAAGCACCATTTTATGACTTACAGTCTGCCTCCTATATTCAGTGACTTGTTATGTATTCCATTGTTAAACTCCATTTTGATCATCTGTATTATGGCAATATATGTTGTACTTTGTTTTACTTTCTACTAAAAGTAAAAACTGTTTTATAGTCTACTTAGAGTTTTAATTTTTGTAATCTGTCTGGTTTTATTTACAGATCATGAAGAATTAAAGGTATCTCAAGCTGATTTGTTCTTTCTGTTTTTAAGTCAGTATTAAAGTATTATTTTAATCACATTAAAAATGTGACTGATATTTTTTGTTTATCACAGTTGTACTTAGCCCCACTGAGTAGCTGTGCTGCTGTTGAATTGTGTAGAGTGATGGGATTATATCAGTTTCTCTTGTCAAAGGACCAGATACATCAGCTTGGGGATTTAGCTTGGTAGTTAGGACTTAGCTTTCTGTTCTCAAGCCCAGGAGATGAGAATTCCTTAGCCTGGGTACCAGTGGAGGCCTACAGTGCCTACTGGGTCTTGCTTTGGGCTAGAGAAAGTCAAGTTGGGATGCCACTGGCTTTTAGACTAGAAGTAATGGTATTGATGTAGCTAAGTGATGTAGCTTACCTGTCTACAATGCGATCAAGAGGCTTTAAAAAATAAAAATAAAAAAATATATAGAATAGAATATGTATACATACATGTATACATAGGTAATTATATTAGAATATATATATGTATGTATATACATACACACACACAATATTAGTTGGCAGGAGCCAAAATGTTAACTTAGTTTTGTAAGTGTCTGAGAACAATACATCTAAAGCTTTACACTTTTAAAAAATATAATTTACAAGTAGTTTGTGGAAAAGGATAGTAGACTGCTACCATTATGCTAAATATCAATCTGTTCAGTAAAGAGACTGGCAAATTTCTATTCATCTGTAATTTTGCTGTCTGATGTGGTAGCCATGTGGCAGGCTGGAATTGAGATTACTGAAAGTGTAACACATGCACCAGATTTTGAAGACTTAGTGTAATAAAAAGAATGTAAAACATTATGAACAGTTTATTGAAATCATCATATTTTGTGTTAAAAGTATTATTAGAATTAATTTAACCTGTTTCTTTTTAATTTTTAAAATGTGACTATGAAATTTAAAATTACATAGTGGTTTTATTATTTTTTAATTAGTGCTAGTCTGTAGGTCCTTTGGTCTCATAATAAGTTCTGTTTATGAACAGAATTCAGCTATGATTTGATTACATACTTGATTTTAACTTTTTGCCAGCATAAATCTAAATACTGTAGTGATTCTTAACGTTTAGTTTCAAAACACCCTGTGTGTGTGTTTTTGGCAGAGACGGAGTCTTGCTCTGTTGTCCAAGCTGGAATGCGGTGGTGGGATCATAGCTCACTGCAGCCCCAAATTCATGGGTTCAAGTGATCTTCCTCCCTCAGCCTCCCAAGTAGCTGAGACTACAGGTGCATGCCACAGTGCCCAGCTTCAGAACACTCTCAGTTGCCCTTCACATTATTTGAGACTGTTTTTTATCTTAAAATTTTAAGGCAGAAGAACCATCTGCCAGTTGATTATTTTGTAGGTTTGAGACTTTGTTGGCTGAATTATTTCCAATAATATGAGTTAAAATTCATTTTATTTTCATACAAGTTCAGTGGGTTGGTTATGATATTTGGGATTTGATTTCTGGTAAAATACAATGAATGCTATTAATGAAAATGTTGAAAGTAATGGCAAAAACTGCAAGTTACTTTTGCACCAACCTAATATATTTACTTTAAAAAATCATTCCTTTGGACTTGGCTATGAAAATTAAAATAAGAAAACCCTCATTCCTTAAAAACATTGGCTTTTATACTAATCTGTCTTACAGGTTTGAGAGAGATGTATATATCCCATACTTCTGTCTTCATACAAAAGAAACTCTCTTTCTCCATATATGTATGTTTTGTATGAAGACAGAAGTATGAGTTTTCTTGAGTTGCAGTGTTTTTTGGATTTTATTAGCCATTTAAAAAAAACAAGAAACAGACCAACATAAGATGGTCAATTCTTTTTTTTTGTAGTATTTTTAAAAATGTAGTCTCTGGTTTAGTAGCATTGTCATCACTTCGTGATTGTTACAGATACATATTTTTGGGCTTCACATAGACATATTGACTGGGAAACTCTGGAGATGGGGCCCAGCATCTGGGTTTTAATAAGCATTCCAGGTGATTCTGGTACACAGAGAACCATAGAGAACCAGTGGCCTAATGTAGTGGTCAGGGTCCACTCAGGAAAAGAGTAACCATTCTTAAGTTTTTAGAACAGGAATTCAGTGCAGGGGATTGGTTATGCAGGTTATGCAGCTGAATCAGCAAGGGAGATATGATGACGCCTTTTAAAGCAGCACGAAGTTAATACACTCACTAGGGTTAGGCTATGGGAGTCTAAGAGCCAGGGATCACTCAGGAGACTGGAACATCCTGGTAGGGGCAAATAGGAGCTGGAGCCATGGAAAGCAGTGCAGCCATGGCTGGAAACACTACCTAAAGAAGAGATGGAAGAAGTGGGAGAAATGTCGTGAATTTTTCCTTTTTCTCATCTGCCAGTTTTCCACCAGTACCTCTTATACACTGAACCCAGAGAAAAGCCAGCCGATCTAGGAGCCTGAGAAATGGGGTCTGACAGTGATCAGCACCCTTGGGATACAGAGCTCTCAAAGAGTGTATCTGTGGATAAACAGACCCAGAACTGGCTCACGTAGTAATTACAGTTTAAAACAAAACATTCTAATATAGTTAAAAAATTTAAAAGGCATTTTAATACTATACAATAATCTCAGAATAGAAGACAATCTTCTTAATGGAATAATCATAGCTTTATGAAAACTAAACCATCCTTTTATAATTTCCCTGTTGGCTAGGAAAATATCTTCACAAGTGTCTTTGGATTTGGAAACATTACCTTATACCTTTGAAGGATTTAAAAAAAAATTTCTGTTTACTCCAGGACCTGCTTTAACCCTACTCTCCCTATTTGGTGAGTTACCAAGCTGTCCTTGGTTGTTATCGCGATCTTATGGCAGATGTGGGAAAGTTGCCTCCTCAATTTTTGACAACTTTTCCTGGAACATCCTGGATGTTTTTCTTTTCATATCTCACTTCTCATTTATTGCTTAAAACGAAGTTCTACCATTTTGTATGTCCTTTTGCCTTCAGTTATTTTGTGGCCCCCTATAATTTTTCGGTGTTCTCTTTTTTTTCCTGTTCTTTTTTATTGCTTCAGCTGTGATTATATATGGCTGACAGAAATTACTACAGTGATAGCCCTGTAACAAGGAAAATACAGTGATAGCCCTCTAACAAGGAAAATGCAGCTTGTAGAGATTTGAAGTTAGAAATAATGTCTTGAGCCTTTTAAGCCCTTGAAAGGGTCCTGAGATTCCCCCAAATTTCTGCAAAAATATCATGCATTTCCTCATTCTTTTAAGTTAATGTTTTTTCCCAGGCAGCAGTATTTAACTGCTATTATTTGAAGCAGTATTGTTTTAAAGTATTTATAAGAAATGGAAGCCTAAGAAGCTAACCACAATTTTCCCGCTTGATAGGTAACCGTTCTGAATTCCAGTTGACTGTCTTAGAATCCAGTTATGTGTTAAATAGTCCAAAATAAAATCTAATATTTATGAATACAAATGAGTCTGGAATATATAGTCTTGTTATATTTAAAAGTTCTGTGTTTTCATTTATTAATTTTATTCACATTCCAAAAATTAAGAAAACTGTAAATAGGTGAGGAACTGGTATTTTACTTGAGAGTTTTTACAAGCACAAGGAAATGCTGCTAGTAAAAATTTGGAAATGGAGAAGGAGTTCTTTCCATTTCTTGAACTCCGGAGGAAGACCAGTGCTATTGTTTTGTGTTTAAGGTGCTGAGCCAGATGCTATAGAGCAGTGCCTCTAAGTCTCTCTTACATCATAGCACACAGAAAATAATTTGTACTCTACTGGGGTAGGTAAGCTGCTAACAGGCTGGTGATTGGACACCACTGGCCTTGGCTGGCTCAACAGCTGACGTATTGCTGTCTTGGAATTTTAATCTCTGATATGGGGAAGCTCTGCTGTATAGAGGACATTTCAGGTGTAATGAACCTTAGTCTCATTAGGGGTGCAATACGTATAACACACAAAGTGGTAAATTATGATAGTGATGGTTTAGTGAAATGCTAAAGAAGAATAAGAGAGGTTAGTTCTGATTGAGATGGAAAGGATCTAACAAAGGCTTTGCAGTGGGGGTGGATCCCAGAAAGCATTCCATCTAGATATGGAGGGACCAAAGGGCAAGGGGAGTTTGGGAATGCCAGGGAGTGCTCATGTGATGGGAGGATTTGAAAATGCAGATAGGAGGCAGATACAGTGAGAACTGTTAAGAAAGAAGGCAGGGGTTCAGGAAGCCTCTTATGTGCCTGAATGGACTTGTGACCTTGGTCACCACTGATAGTTTTTATGTGGGGAATGAAGTGATCTGATCCCCCTCCCTTTGCAAAATTATTCTGGGGCTTGCCAGTTGAGAAATCCCTGGGGAGGAGAGGGCCTTGATGCAGGCTAGTTAAAGGCTTACACCTGGTGAATAAAGATGGGTGGACTTGGTAAAGAGGGAACTCGCAGATTTTGCTTATGATATGACAAAAATCACCTCAGATTTGGAGCCTGGGTGAGGAAGAGGATGATGGGACTGTTTCCAGAATTAGATTCTGTATGGGGGACAAGGAACTCTATTTTAGATGAGGTTTTGATGCTTGAAGAACAACAATTGTTAATATTGAGAAAGTGCTTTCTAGGGGCCAGATAGTGATCTAAAGCTTTTATTTTCTAAACTCACTTTATTTTCAAAACAACTATAAGAAGTAGGTAGTGTCAATTAGTATCCAGTCAGGAAAATGGAAAAAAAAACCACAGCAAAACCCAACCATTCTATTATAAGGACACATGCACACAAATGTTCATTGCAGCACTGTTTACAATAGCAAAGACTTGGAACCAACCCAAATGCCCATCGATGATAGACCAGCCAGGGAAAATGTGGCACATATACACCATGGAATACTATGCAGCCATCAAAAACGATGAGTTTGTGTCCTTTGTAGGGACATGGATGAACCTGAAAACCATCATTCTCAGCAAACTGATACAAGAACAGAAAATCAAACACTGCAGGTTCTCACTCATAGGTGGTGTTGAACAATGAGAACACATGGGCAGAGGGAGGGGAACATCATACACTGGGGTCTGTGTGGGGGAACTAGGGAAGGGACAGTGTGGGGTGGGGAGTTGGGGAGGGATAATATGGGGAGAAATGCCAGATATAGGTGATGGGGAGGAAGGCAGCAAACCACATTGCCATGTATGTACCTATGCAACAATCTTGCATGTTCTTCACATGTACCTCAAAACCTAAAACGCAATTAAAGAAAAAGAATATATATATATATAAAAGATTTAATGCAGGGTATTGGTTATAGTGATGTTGAAAGGGCTGGAGAAACAAAAAGAAAAAAAATGTGTTTTGGGTGAATGGTGTTGGACCAGAAAAGGAAAAGAGAGAAAAAGTTGTGTGTGTGTGTGTTGATAGTTGAATGAGTAAAAACGAGAAGAGGATGTTACTAAGTATCAGGTGTCCACTGTTGCATAAAGTACATGCTCTGCAGGTCTACTGGAGATCTTCATTGGTTCTGCTGTTTTGGAGCCACCACAGATGATGATGGAGCCTACAGTTGTCTGTTCTTGCTGTTGGAAGTATCACTAGAACTAGCAAGCAAAAAAGGCCTTTTTTTTTCTCTTACCTTGCAGTCTCTTGCCAGTGTTTCCCATGGGTAGATCCAAACTATAAGCAAGTTGACAAGGGAGTTTGGAAAATATTGTTTATAGACCTCTAGTCCTTTGTAATACAGAGAAGAGTTGAGAACCAACAGAAAAATAACTGGCAGAGCAAGTATCTATAACCAAGTATCTATAATCAATATCACTATAACCAGTACCTTGCATTGAATCTTTCTCTGCTTAAGATATCTATGTAGTGGTTGGTTTTTGGTGTGTGTGTTTTTTTTTTCCCATTTTCCTGACTGGACACTAACTGATGGCACCTACTTCCTGTAGTTATTTTGAAAATAAAATGAGTTTTTAAGCTTGCTTTACAGATGTGAAAACAGGCATGGAGAAGGAAAGTAGTTCTCCTAAGGTCACATAGCTACTGCTTGGTAGAGTTAGGGTGTGAATCCAGGCAATCTGATTTCAGAACCTGTGCTCTTATCTCCCACTCTTTGATCTTGCCTCCACATGTGATAATTCTTAGATTTGTCTCCTTATTGCCGAGCACTTCAAATGAGT